TAGTGGTGACAAATTTGATCATAAACAGCTCGGGCAACTGTTGTCTTTCCAATTCCTCGCATCCCATGTATCCCTATAATGCGTACGCAGTCAGTCATCCATCCACAAATGTGATCTTGTAGTATTTTATCAATGCGAGATTCCATTCCTACCAAGCCCTCGTCGACAGTCGAAGATGCATACAATGAACGGTTTAGTACCCATGTGGCAACGGATTCTACAAGTTCTGCCTCCACCCTGAAATGAAGAAGAAAGAACATAGATATAACAGCATGATCAAATATGTATACAAAAGTACTTTGGAGGTTCCATACGAAAACCGATTGAAAATAGAGGGTGGACCAGCTCTCATGCAAGATTTTGTTTTGGTTGGTCAAACTTAGGCATTCATATACCCAGAGGGAATGCCATGCAAGGTATCTTCTTCTTGTATATTATGGGAGCAACCCAATTTGTGAAACTTTGATAATACCATAAAATACCTGTTTCCCCTATGAGAGTTTCAGAATAAGACAATATAAATAATTAATATTGTGCAGGTTACTACGGTCTAATGATATTTCTCTATGAGTCACACATTGATGGGAGAAGAGATTTTGCATGAGTTGTTTATAAGAGGTTGGGCTACTCCTCATATTGCCAATTAGTTTTGTGGTGGAGAACCTTCATAACTAATGTGTGCTAACCTCTAAAAAACTAGAAAGGAATTTGGCTAAAATGATTAGAAACAAATTTCAATTGTTGAACCAGTCATAATTAGATATCAACAATATATCAATCAGATATCAACAAGGAGTAATGCTAGGAAGACTAAATTATAGACTAAACTTTGTAAACTAAATGACATAGAAGTTGATGATTGAATTATTACTTAAACGTTGATAAACGTGCTTATTTTCTATTGGTGACACATCATTTAATTTGCAAATTTAGTTTACAAATTTAATCTTTCTAGCATTACTCATTGACAAGCTACTGAAAACTGGTTCATTTCAACAATTGAAATCCAAAAATTGATAATTTAGGCAATGGCAAATCAGTCAACACACTAGCTAAAAATGCATACAAAAATGCATAATACCAAACTATGATATTTAACTGTGTGCAAAATACTTAACAATGTTGTAAATCCCAGCCCTTAAGACCAGCCACCTCTCTCAAAGCAGCCCTCCACCGGTTTATGTTGTTCCTATCCTCAGAACAAACTTCTTCATGCTCCGTTACATTCCTCACGGCCAGCAAGAACCTTCCCGTTTGGTGGCGCACCTCAGACGGATCCACGTTGTGAAAGATTGGCACGACTTCTTGCCCCATGTCTTTTCTGCATTGCATAATCTTGACAAGCTCATTCAAACACCACGATGAATTGGCATAGTTTGGTGAAAGAATGACAAGGGCAAGCTTTGACTCCTCAATTGCTTTCAGAAGTGCTGTGGAAATGGATTTTCCGTGCTCAAGCCTTTCGTCATCTTTGAAGGTCAGAATTCCTTTATTATGTAATGCAGTGTACATATGGCTGACGAAACTCTTGCGGGTGTCTTCCCCTCGGAAACTTAGAAAAACTTCGTATTTCCATTGACGGGCAGGAGAAGAAGAAGACACTGCGGCGGCATTCGTGGCAAGCTGCATCTCATCACCAATAAGTTGTCGCCGTAGCAGTCTCCATACTCATACCATCATTAAAAATTCACCTCCACAATCCAAACTCACAAACCCTGCTTCAAATTACATAAGTATTTACAAAAGCATCAAGGAATTTGAACTAATTAAGTAAAACTAAGGCATGGGTTTAATTAAAAATTAGAAACTTGTGGTACATTGCTGAATTCATTAAAACTTAAGCTGACTTTTCACTTCTAAAGTAATTTTCATACAATTTATGAACAGGATTTTTCTAAGAACTAATCGAACAAGCTAAAAATGTACTAAAAATATTAAAAAAATACATGCTTTTTAGCAGAATTGATGAGATTCAATCAGTTCAATGAAGAAAAATACTACAAAATAAAATCATGAGATTCAATCAGTTCAATGAAGAAAAATACTCCAAAATGAAATCATGTAAAGAAAAACTAAAAAATGTAGGGAAGGGTACCTGCCATTTTGAGCATAGGGAAACCTCCATGGCGGTGTGAAAAACGGGAAGAGAGAGAGAGAGAGAGAGAGAGAGAGAGAGAGAGAGAAAGACCATAAAAATGTCTCCGGGGGAAAACTCAAAATAGGTATAGTCAGTCTGAATCTCCTTCAACTTGAGTTAAGTTAGTCTGAATCTCTTTCAACTTGAATTAAGTTAGTTTGAATCTCCTTCAACTTGAATTAAGTTAGTTTGAATATCCTTCAACTTGAATTAAGTTTCAACTTGAATTAAGTTAGTCTGAATCTCCTTCAACTTGAATTAAGTTCGTCTGAATCTCCTTCAACTTGAACTAAGATATACTAAGTGGGACAGACTAGTGGATTTAACTAATTCTTAAAATTCTGACATTATGTTGTAGTACATGTACCTTAGACCATCTCCAAGAAGATGTCAAATTCTAAGTGAAATGCCACATGATAAAATTTGTAGGCAGATAAAAGCTTCAACTGATATGCCAATCTTATGTGGATGGACATATCTATTGTGTGCTGCCAATTTTGACACATCATTAAATCTGTTGTCAAATTATTTTTTAAGAAATGATAGCTTTATTCATTACTAAACTCGTCAAGAGACCAAGACTTGGTTGAGTACTGATAGGATTTTTAGGTACCTGCGCAAAAAGGTTAAAATCACACAAAATACTTGCAAGAGAATAAGGTTGTTGCAGTATAAACGGCTTCAGCAAAGTCGTTTTCCGCAAGGATTATTTTAAAAAAATTATGAAAAACCAAAATTTTAGTTAATTATTTAAAAACAAAAATGGAAAAAGGGTGATTTAATGACCTAAATTTAGAAAAATGAAATTAATTAAAAAGGCTATTAAAATCTGCAATTTTTTGAGAAAGAAAAAGGAAACAATTTTTAGAATTCAAAATGAAAAAATACTAGGGTTCCACTGTCACCCTAATAATCCTACATAGTTTTTCTAATTCCTTATGAATTACACATGCATATTTTGAAGGTTAGGTTTTCCTAAAGTATACCCTACTTGGAACCTCCAACATAGAACGTATATCTAACATGCAACCCGTCCGTGGCATCCAGTTCGAATATGAACATGCAAGACTCATTAAGTTTTGTGAAAACCTTTTGAAAAACCGTATAACTCCTAAGAAGTGTCGTCCATCCTAAGTAGCTACACATGTTAACCATAAGAAGCCTTAGTCAATTTAGGGACAACCCTCCACCAAAATTGCATCAAATTATTTTTCTAAATATCCTAATAGTCGCGAATCACTAAGACAAATAGATAGTTTAAAGTATAGTAATTAACAATCCAAAACTTGCATGAATAAATTCATAAGAAAATTAAAAAGAGACTACATATTCTTGCTAAGAATCATGGCCTCACCCTAGCAAAGAGAATTAGTTACGGATATTCATAATTAAAATCAAAAGAATTGTATTGAAATAGAAAAAGAATGAAAACACCTTGTAGAATAAAGTTTGAAAATCTCTAAGCTCTAGCCAAAATCTTCTTCTCAAATCTTGCGTACGTCCTCAAGAAACCCTATTGGTTATTTTGGTATTGCTGTGCTTTGAAAAAAAAGCTGCTGTGAGAATAAGCGGCTGTGCTGTGAGAATAAGCGGCTGTGAAATAAATCAGCAGAGTGTTTGGTAAACTTTTTTGTAAAAATGCTTTTGAAAAAAAAAAACAATCTGATAGTGGGTTTTTTCATTAAAGGAGCATTGTAGCTCCGTGTGCTTTGAAAAAAAAGCCAGTTTTTCAAAGCTACAAATAGCAGCTTCAGCTTTTTCCTTTGATTTCAGCTTATTCTCACAGCAGCTTCCAAAATAAGCCCTTTTTTCAGTTTACCAAACACCTAAAACCCTAACAGTTTTATTTCATGGGTGTTTTTTTTTTAAGCACCTCACTCCCAAACCACCCCTAAGTCTGCCAAAAGGCTTATTTATACTACTCTAAATAAAATCCTCCTAGTAAAAGGTCTTAGAATAAGACTAGGAAACTAAATAAATTGAAATAAAAAAGGAAACATAATCTTAAATTGACTTGGTAAATTCGGCTAAAAATCTGCACATCCACGTTTTGGACCCATATCAGCTCCAAAACTTGCCCAAAATAGTTGTATCTATAGCTTGAACTATTCTAAACACATCTCTAGAAGGCCATGAACCCATCTGAGGCCATCTTGGGCTCCAAAAAAGCAATTTAAGCCCAGAAACGTCACTTTCCAATAACACGCACTACTCCTTCATTTAATCGCCAGAAAATAACTGCTTGGTAGAAAAATCCCAAATTTTGATACATACAAGCCAAGAGACACATGAACGTCCTCCAATTTAAATCACTCCAAAATTCATCTGTTTGATTATATTTTGATCCAAAGGAAGTCGAATGTCCTATATTGAAAATATAAAGCAAAATATCAAAATTCTACCAAAATAATTACCAAATTATACTAAGAACAGGATAAAATATATAACATAATATTGACTCATCAAGTACATCCCTAGTGACGTCAGGGAGTTCCTCGAATCAAAATAATGAATCACGACTATATAAACTTGACTTAGAGAGGCAATGGGCCATCTTATTACAACCTCTCGAGACATACAAAATAGTATGGCCTTCAAACCGAGCCATCATCTCATGGATATCCCTGGCAATAAAACTGAGAATAGAAAGATCCATATACCTATCCATACATGCCGCCATCACTTCCATTGAATCCGTCTCCTCCACAATATGCGTGGACCCCAGTGTTTTCACGAGTTGCAAGCCCTCCCTAACAACAAAGAGTTCCACTTGCTTGACCGATGCAATGCCCTGGAAACTCCACACCCCCGCCACCCTGAATCCTTTTCCTTCCCTGCAGATCACCCCTCCAACACTCCTAACTCAATCTTTCAGTTTCACAGTGCTATCAACGTTCAGTTTAAACCACTGATCACTAAATGATAACCGCAGATGTTTTGGCTCCTCCACTTGGCTAGGTTGGTTGGCCACCTGGAAACCATATAGCCAGCTGAGCGTTCTTTGAACCACCTCTAAAGGCTCGAAGAAATGCCCATCCCATACCACACCATTCATTTCTTTCCACAGGGCCCAAATCATCATTAGTAGTAGTACTACCTCAAAATCCACCTGTTTGTTCTCGCAAATCTGGAACAACCACTTCTTTGAAGAGACATCATGGCTTCCGAATGTCCCCATACCCACTGGTGCAGTGAACCACACTGCACGAGAGAAATTATAATCCCTTAGAACATGATGTGCAGTCTCTTCAACCGCACCACACCTCGGGCATGAAGTTTCAAGCATAATTCCCTCTTTATCAGGTTGGTCCTTGTTGGGAGAGTATCCATACAAACCCTACACCCGCAGGATTTAACTTTTACCGACACTCGTGCTTTCCAAATAGCCTGCCACAGACCACCTTAAGCTCATCCATTATTCGATGAAGAAGAAGCCAATAAAACTGGAGCAACATCACTTCTTATTGCCATTTTATAAGAACTTTTGACAGAGAACAACCCCTTCTTATCATAATGCCACATCAACCTATCAGGCAGCCTTCAAAAACTAAGCGGGATCAAACAAATATAATGAACCTCTTCCTTTGCAAACAATTGGTGCAACAAATCAATCTTCCAACACATATCTTCCATGGAGATTATATTCTTCACCATCAGCTCTCCAAGAGTAGGAGTTGCCGGTGTAAGAATTTTAAATGTAAGAGGTCTAGGCAACCATATATCCTTCCATATTCGAACAACTTCACCATTACCAATAGCCCATCTTAAACCATGCTCAAACATAAACATGACTGCATAATACTCTTCCATACATAGGAAGCAATAGGTAGGCAATGACATTCCAAAAATTACCATTTGGGAAGTATTTCGCTCTCAAAACTCTACCAACTAAAGAGTTTAGGTTATGAATCAACCTCCACCCTTGTTTCGCAAGGAGGCTAAGTTCAAAGCATAAAGGTCCCGAAAGCCTAACCCACCCTTATACTTAGGCCAACATTGTTGGAGTGTAAATTGAAGAACTGATTTGAGGAAGATTACAAGGTTTAATTAGTGTAATGCTTCATATCATAGGCTGAGCTTATGTGATAAATGTAATTATTTTGTTAAGTTTCATAGGGCTTGATGAGTGACAAGTGTTCTAATCTTAGTGTAGTATAGGATGGATGGTTGAGATTGAAACTTGAGTTGTAACATTGTTTCCTCTAACGATTATATTTTGTCTTGCATGAGCTCATATGCTCAGCGTGAGAAATCAATGAAAATGGATGCAAAGTCATATTCTATGTGACTTATGATTGCCTCATTCCCTTTTTCGAAGTCCTTTGCATATTCCTCCATAGATATCATCGTCATTCTTCCATAATTTGTATCAGAAAATGTTTCTCTAACATGGCCCTAGAGCCTAGTTGGGTTTGAATCTTTTTGGGCATTGTATCTGTGAAGAATCAAGCTCTATTTCACAGCAAACGCTCATTGCAGTGATTCGAGTTCATATCAACAATCCAAGTCTAACATGGCTAGATTCGTAGAAAGAGAACTTAAGCGGCAGTTTTCAATGGTGAGAATTTTTATTTCTTGCAAATCAAAATGAAAACCATTTTCCGGTCACATATGCTGTGGAATTGGTTGAAAAGGGATTTAATACTTAGGCGAAGAAGGAGGATAGCTCACAGAAGCTGAGAAGAAGCTCCTACGAGACCCGATGGATCTGTCTCCATCATCCGATCCAAGAACCTCGATCTCATCAAGATCCGAGGAATTTATTCAGAGATGGGGTTGGGGAGAGAGACAGGTGAGAGCTTGAAGAACAACCTATCAAAGACGGCGTTGAGGGGAGTAATGCAATGGGCATAGCCACATCGTCAGAGTGCAGACTTGCTCCAATGGCAGTTGCCATGTCGGCTAGATGAAGAAGAAAAGAGGAAATTAAAATAAAAAAATGAAGAAAGAGCAAAGAAAAAAAATAAAAGACAGAAAATTGGGGAGTGAGGGGAGAGTCGGGAGACTTCTACATAGATTATTAATAAATGAAGATGGATAAAAAAAAGATAGGAGACTTCTAGATAGACTATTAATAAATAAAATAATTATTATTTTACATTTAACATCATACTCATTTTATACCCTTTTTAGTCATTTCACATAGTCATAGCTATTTTACATAAAAGTTTACCAAACACTATCATACTGCTTTTTTTTTTCAAAAACACTTTTACAAAAAAAGTTTACCAAACACTCTGCTGCTTTATTTCACAGCACAGCAGAAGCAGTTTTTTTCAAAACACAACAATACCAAACCAGCCCTAAATCCTATGATAGTTGTAAACACGAAAATACTGTAGCGAATCAAATAAGAACACATGTACAAAATAATATTTGTATTAATGAATTTAGGATTTAGGGTTACAATCTCTGTTTACAAACTTGATCCTCTGATTCAATCTCCGAAGATGAAAAAACCATAGTATTGTTGATCTGAGGTTCGCAGTGACTTGATTTCATATGAACGTTTGCTACAAGGATTTGACTTGTGGCTATGGAAGAGCCGACATGGGTAGTAGTGTTTGATGAATCTTCACGGGTTTAACGAAGAACATAGTGAGATTTTTTTAGTCTCCTTGAGCGTTTTGGGGTTTAAGTGTTTAGGAGCCTTAGAGTTTCAAAGCTTCAGCATCTGGGCGTGAATGGTTTTCTGGACCCCTTCTTTGTTTTGGAGCCTCGTATTTATAGAATCTCCAAGCCTTGCCTACGGATGAATTTGGCTTTGATTGTGGGCTTGAGTAATTGATGAAAGAACCAAGACTTGATTTGTGGGCCGGTTCATGATTTTACTCCATTAATTAATATTTGATTTAATTAAATTAAAATCAAATAATTCATTTCCGCCAATTATTGACACGTGTCTTTCTTGATGACTCGTCTGATTTTGATGAGTCACATCTATGTGTATGATTTGTGAGACATGGTGTCTGCCACGTATGCCCTAGCATGTTGAAACTTTAATGTGTTGGTGAATATTTATTTCACTGAAATTTCAATGTCTACAGTATTGCATCTGTGATCTAAAATATTAAAGATCTAGAGATTATAAATGCTCATGATGTGGTTGCTATTGTAAAGGGGTATGAGCAAAGGTTGGATAAACATGGTGAAAGTAGCACATAGGGCATTTGCTAGCTTGAACATTGCATCTAAACCAAATAGGTTTGATGGTCAAGCTAACAATGGCAAGTATCAAAGAACTTTTAGCCAAGAGGAAAGCAATGGGGCAATAGGCTGAGTAGGGTAATAAGGCTATTATTCTTGTGAAAAATGATGCAAACAATGTCACAGATGTAAGTACTGTGATAAACTCCATTATGGAGAATGTTGGCTTAAAAACAAGGTTAAATGTCACAAGTGTAGTCAGATTGGTCATATTGCTAGGTACTGCAATTCGAACAGAAGTGTACAACAAGTGAATTTTGTTCATTAGGTAAAGGAAATTGGTAATTTTTTTATGCCAGTCACTCAAGTGAAGTAAAAAAGCCAAATGTTGTGTTGTACACAGACAATGGATGTAGTAATCACATGACATCCAGATAGGATTTGCTTCTTGATATTAACAGAAATATGAAATCCAAAGTCCAAGTAGGTACTGGAGTTTTAGTTGATGTTGTAGGGAAGGGAACATTGGTCATTGAAACAATAAAAATCATAAGATATAAAGGGAAGTAATTTTTGTACCTGGTCTTGTAGAAAACCTGCTTAATGTAGGCCAGATGACTGAGCATGGCTATTTCCTTTTATTTGGTGACTGTAGAGTGGATGTATTTGATGGTAAGTCTCTCAGCAATCTTGTGATTCGTGTAAAACAAAAGAGGAGTAGATGTTTTCCTTTTATCTTTAGTACAAACAAGCAACTTGCATTGAGTACTAGTGTGGAAGACTGTGCAAATGTATGGCACAAAAAATATGGTCATGTAAATTTCAGGAGTCTTAAGCTATTGCAAAATTAAGGAATGGTATTGGGGTTGCCTAAAATCCAAGATAATGAAGAAGTGTGTCAAGGGTGTGCACTTGGGAAGCTTCACAAAGAGCTATTTCCCAAGGAGACAACTTGGAGAGCAGAAGAACCGCTTGATTTGGTGCACTCAGATGTCTGTAGCCCTATGCAGGTTCTAACCATGAATGGAAATTTGCACTTTCTAACATTCATTGATGATTATTTAAGAAAGTGCTGGATTTACTTTATGAGTAATATAAATCTAAAGTGTTTGGGATATTCAAGAAATTTAAAGCTATGGTTGAACTGCAATGTGGTTATTCACTGAAAAAGCTAAAAACTGATAAGGATGGAGAATTCACTTCCACAAAGTATAATGAATTATGTGAATCTATTAGCATGGAGAGGCAACTCACTGTGTCTTACACTCCACAACATAATGGAGTGGCAAAAAGGAAGAACTTATGGCTAAAAGCATGCTGCATGAGAAAGAATTACCCTACGAGCTCTAGGGTGAGATAGTTAACACTGATGTCTATCTATTGAACATATGTCCTACAAGTGCTTTAGACAATTTTACACCATTTGAGGTGTATAGTGGAAGAAAACCTGAGATTAAACATTTCATAATATTTGGTTCTTTGTGCTATTCCTTAGTACCAAGAATCTAAGGCACAAACTGGAAAAGTCAAGTACAAAAGGAACTTTCATTGGATACAGTTCATGTGAGAAGGGGTAAAGAATTCTAAATCCTATTACAATGAAGGTGATTGTGTTCAGAGATGTGTTAATTGAAGCAAATGGAAAATGGAATTGGGATGAGAACAAAGTGAAAGAGATATGTGTTCCTCTAATTGCTTCTGAGTGTAGAGAGATTGGAGAAATTGAAGAAGTTGAAGAAGATGAAACTATTGTGAGACAAGTAATACATGAGGTTTCAACTAGCTCAGTATCTCCTACCTCTTATGAAGGATCTTGTTCTCAAAGTGCAGCCGTCGTAGGCAAATGAGGTCTGTTGATACACAAGCATTTGATTCAACTCTTCTCAAATAGAGAAATCTCGGTGGGGTGTATGAGCACTACAACTTATGCATTGTTAAACCTCATAACTTTGATGATGTTGCCCAGGATGATGCTTAGAAAGTTGCAATACAAGAGGAGATGAACATGATTAAGAAGAATAAGACCTAGGAATTGATAAATAGGTCACTTGACAAGCCAGTAATTGGAGTGAAGTGGGTGTACAAGACTAAATTGGACCTAGATGGGTCAGTTCACAAAAATAAAGCTAGATTAGTGGCACAGGACTACGCACATAAGTTTGAAGTAGACTATAATGAGACATTTGCACTTGTTGCAAGGCTAGATACAATAAGGACACTGATTGCTCTTGCTACAAAGAACAATTGGCAGCTATTTCAACTAGATGTTAAACTTGTATTTTTGAATGAGGTGCTTCAAGAAGAAATGTATGTGAATCAATCAGAAGGCTTTGTTGCCAAAAGAGAGGAGGACAAAGTGTACAGGCTACATAAAGCACTTTATAGGCTAAAGCAAGCACCAAGGCTTAGTATGGAGAATTGATGCCTATTTTGAAAAGAGCAACAATGAAGCAACTCTATATACAAAGGGAAAAGAAATTGCAGGAATGCTTATAGTGTCAATCTGTGTGGATGACATCATTTACAATGGGAGTAGTGTTGAATTGATGGAAGAATTCAAAACTGACATGATGAACAAGTATGAGATGACTAATTTGGGTTTGCTGCAACACTTTTTAGGAATGGGAGCTACGCAAACTGAATCAAGTATGTAGCAAAAATTTTAAAGACCTCATATTTTTACTCCACTAATAAAATAGAAACTTACTTCAATTGGGAAACTATACCGCCATTAAAAATGTACACAATGCGATATTATAATGTAATCTCCCTAGCATTGTTCTTTATGAGTACACATATGACAATGCATAATAAGCAGCAAATGCTGCCATAGTATTATTTACCACTCACAAGCCAAAAAAAAAAAAAAAAACCCTTCCATGGAAAACAACATACCAAATCTTTTACAATCAAATATTAATTCTAATCTAGAAGAAAGGCACAAGCCAGCACCCCCAACCAATTTACAAATTACAATCCTTTACTCAGCATCTGCAAATCTGCAAAAGAAAGATGTAACACGAGTCAAATTTTTCAGATCTATAAATAAATTGAAATACAAAGATACAACCTGAACGACTATCAGAATAATAATGGAAAACAATAAAAAGTACGGTTCTAAGTTTCCAGTACTCACCCAAGCTCGGAGAGCTTCAAATGTGCTTCAGCATAATCAGCAAAGAAGGCGTCTTCGTCCTAATTGAAGCAAAACCAAAGAAACCAAAAGTTGGATCAAACGATCATCACTGCAGGAGAGCACATGCATAGACTGCATATTGCAAGCCGTAATTTACTCATATTAAGTGGAATACACTTATACACAATTAGATACAAACCGCAGCATAAGTCTCGACAAGAGGGCGAAAGACTGGATCCTCCAGAAGAGCTTTATCTGATGGCAGCTGAAGAAGACCTTCTTTCTCTCCATTAAGAAGCTCCCTGTTTGGAAAAATGATAGTAAATCAGATTGACAATTACTACTTAACTCTTGATTACCATCCTTTCCTTATCACATTTACAAATAGTTAGTAGTACCAATATTAACATATACATAGTATAGATGGGATAATTAGATGACTTGAGTGTAAGATTCCATTTAATCTGCAAAGTGCTATTAATTCAGCAATGGTAAAACAGAATGGAATGAATCTTTACTTGAAATAGGAGTTGTCGAAAATAAGAGGGTTGGTTGTCCAGGGTCCCTCGAATCCAGAACGCTCCTTGTGACACCTACCCTGCAAAAAAAATTCCAAATACACAATCGTTCAGTAGCTGTACATGTATGATATCTTAGGAATGGTGAACTCTACGGTAAATTATACAGAAAGAAGAATGTGACGTTCATGCACAGACCAAGGTGTGTCCACCGGATAATGCAACAATGTCCTTGTCACTAAGTCCCATGTGTCCAAAGACATCCCTCAGATGATCCGAACCTAGAGCACCAACACTTAACGAAATAATTAGAGACATTCATCTTACAATCAATCAATTGAAATTGCAAGATTTAGCAGCTATTAACCTTTGGTGGCATCTGGCAAACGACCTTCTGGTGGTGGTTCTTGTTTATCCTAAAATTAGCACACAAGGTTAGATGATTCTAGGAATAAAAACAAGTTAGACCAATGGCCTCGTTTAGTGGTTTGGATTGGATAAGATAACTCACTCGATTCGTTAAACTAGAACGAGAAATGGATGCCAACTCCCAAATCTTATCCAAGTCGTCGTAGGTAGAAGATGAATACTTCTCCCTTCCTCACCTTCCAATCCTACCAAGGTGGAAGGCCTTCATATCTAATCCATCTTCTACCCTCAACTTTAACAAGGTTTGGGAGTTCGAATGCACTTTTTGCTACATTAAATCTAGCAAGCTATCAAATTCAATCCAATATTATCTACCAAATGAGACCGATCGAAGAGTGTAAACCAAATATTGCATTGTGGATGTCATTAGAGCCAAATTTCAGCAGACCAAGTTCTAAAATCCTACCAAACTTCTGATTATTATAAAGGGGTAACAAAATTAGTGAAGAAATCATAGTGTATAAGTTATAAATAAACCAAAATATAATTTTTCGATTCACAATATTGGACATTAAACATAATAAAAAAAAAATCATAAAGTTGCAGAGAAAAAACAAGGGTTTACTTACTGGTCTACCAGGGTGGAAAGGAATCTCAGGCCCTCCTGTAACTTCTACAGCAACAACTCCAGCCAGCTTCAATTCACAGCAAAACACACAGAATTTCATTATTACGACAAAACTAATCACATTAAAAACAAGATTAGGATTCAATGATTAATTTATCGTCGACTATTGCTTGAACAAGTAAGACGAATTCTCTTAACGGATAGATATATACCTGGTAGAAGTCTGCATACGAGAGGATCGGAAACTGCTCCTTGATCGGCTCCAAAAGCCTAACCACGATATCAAGACCGTTGTTTGCTTCATGAGCGAGCTCCTCCGGGTGCCTGATGGTCCCAAACGGTCCTCCAGTCTTCGTGTGTATGTCAAACGTACCAGCTGAGTGCCATCTGCACCCATCATTCAGAAGTTCCAACATTAAACACCAGCTCGATCGTTGCCAATGACAGAGAGTCAAATTTTGATAAATATAGACAGAGGGTTCTTAGCACTTACGCCAACCGGAGGACTATCGGAGCACAGTGCTTCTCGGCGATGAGCCCTCGGAGTTTTCTCTTGCATTTTTCTACCGCCTTCTGGTATTCCTCACTCACAGTCGGGTACTGTTTCACCATGTTGTTGTCAATCAATCGTTTCACACCTAAAAATTATACAAAGCCAATCATATTACTCAGCACGATTATTTTTCAAATCTCATCGCTGAACTGATCAAAATCAAATATTTTCGAATATATATCTACCAAATATTAACCATATCCAGTAAATAATGATCATACAGTGATCAAATACTGAAAAACAATCTTTTACGTACCAATTGGAATTTATAAAAAAAAAAATAAGCAAAAAACAACTTACAATCAAAAGTACGTAGCTAGAAAGAAGCAATTGCCACGGATTTGAGCACAGTGCAGGTCTCAGTAGAGAGTTTCAGACACAGAACAAAGTGCAGATATAGGAAGCGTATTTTGGGGGGACGAAGGTTCTAGCGATCGTTTTTGTATCCGGGTGCTGAACCAACGGCGGGGATCATGCCTAGTAAGCGAGTGCTGAGGTGTTCTCTTGCGGCGGGAAAGAAAACAGAAACTTGGCATTCGTTGGGCCACGTTTCGGATGGAGAGTGGTGTCGAGGTGGACTGAGATTTGTTCTGTTGGTCAAGGGGGTGCTAGTTGTTTCGAGAGAGAACTTTTTGAGTTGTGATGCAGAGTCATCGATGATTGGATCATTTGAGCAGTTTCTAGAGACCATTACAATCTAAATTAACCATGCTATCGAGTGGAACATATAAACACGAGTGGTTTATAACTCAATTGATTAAATAGCGTTCATCTTTACTTTTAAAATTTCGTGTTAGAATCTTTTTTTTTATAGTTTAATTGAGTTTCTTGTAAATTATCATCTCATTTGTTAAAAAATATATATATAAACAGATAAATATACAAAAATACTTCTTTTACCACCTATTTGTATCATCATTTGAATAATCTCTCTAATAGAGATGGGACCCACATGTATTAGCGGGTATTACTTTTATTAGAGATATAGTACAAATGATGGTACAACTAGATGATAACTCTAGCATTACTCATAAATATATGTTAAAATATAAAGGGCTTTAGCAAAGTTTGATTGTCTACGTACCAGTTTTGAGTGAAGACAATCAATTAGTGTTGTTGATGCACAAAACCGGATATCTTGGAACAACGTAAATCCGACCGTGAATCTGCATAAAATGTAAATGACACAAGAATTATCGTGGTTCACCCCAAGGTTTGGGCTACGTCCACACTGATTGTATTGTATTTCTCTGTTGAAGAGGGAGAGAGAGAGCTTAGAGCTTAGGGGGTGTGAGAGGGCCTAAGAATTTGGCTTTTGAGGGTGAGAATGAGCCTCTTCCTAATTGTGAGGGTGAGGGGTCCTTTTATAGAATAAGGACTCCTCACTTATTACATATTTGCCACTTCCTTTATCCCATAATTACATTTAAGTCCCCTGAGTATTTGTACGAGATCTAAATACGAGGCCCTAAATATAGTATAAACAGTAGTTCCCCAAGTCTTCAGTCAAGAGAGTCTTTTTGGCTGGAGACTTGAAATTCAGTCCATGTGTGGGCCGAAGTAACTAGATGTCGTCTAGAACTAATGTTTGATATGAGGCGGTGCCCAATCTGAAATGATGCTCAACTAGAAGTTAGCACATGTTGCGAGGCCGCTCTGCTTGTAGCTTATGTTGCCTTGGTTGGCTCGGCTTGTGGCGTTTGAAGGTGAGGAAGTCCCTTTTATAGAATAAGGGCTCGTTTCTCAATACATAAGTGATGGGTTATGAGTGATGTTCGCGGCGAGGCGATTGCTCAGCTGGCGGCGTTGCTCTCTAATGAAGGTAAGGGAGTCCCTTTTATAGAATAAGGGCTCACTCCTCAGTACATGAATAATGAGTGCTCTCTAATGAAAGTGAGGGAGTCCCTTTTATAGAATAAGGGCTCGCTCCTCAATACATAAATAATGGGCTAAGTCCCCCAAGTATTTTTCATGAGGCCCAATTGAGGCCCAATATATGGTACATAATGTAGTCCCCCAAGTCTTCGGTCAATAGAGTCTGTTAGCTGGAGACTTCAAATTGAATCCATGTATGGGCCAAAGTGGCGGTTGTTCGGAGACGGTATTTGTATACCCTGCACTGAAGCTTTGTAGGTGAAGCTTTGCAAGTGAAACTTTGAAGCTAGAGTTCTGTAAATGAAGTTTTCGAAGCTGGAGCTTTTGTAAATGAAGCTTTTGAAGCTGATTGACATAAGTGATGCTCATGAATGTTTATGTTGATTGACATGAGTGATGCTCATGAATGTTATGTATGATTGTCATGAGTGATGCTCATGAATGTTTATGTATGAATGACATGAGTAATGCTCATGTATAATTTGAAGTACTAGGCGTACTTTTGATCACCTGGTTAGTGGCATGAAGAAGAGTACGGATTGTACATTTCATCACCTGGTTGGTAGCATGAATGGCTAGTTTGCAAATTAGAGTACGGGTTGTACATCTCATCATCTGGTTGGTGGCATGAATGGCTAGTTGCCAAAATTAGAGTACGTGTTGTACATCTCATCACCTGGTTGGTGGCATGAATGGCTAGTTGCCAAATTAGAGTACGGGTTGTACATTTCATCACCTGGTTGGTGGCATGAATGGCTAGTTGCCAAAATTAGAGTACGTGTTGTACATCTCATCACCTGGTTGGTGGCATGAATGGCTAGTTGCCAAATTAGGGTACGGGTTGTACATTTCATCACCTGGTTGGTGGCATGAATGGCTAGTTGCCAAATGATATTAGAGTACGGGTTGTACATTTCATCACCTGGTTGGTGGTAATAGCGGCGGGTTGCCGAATAATTGTGGAGTACTGGGCGTACTTTTGATGGCCTGGTTGGTGCTATTTTGGGCTTATGCGCCTTCGCCCTCTACACAACATTCCAACCCATTTATTTTGGGCTTTTCCGTTTTTTTTTTTTTTTTTTTTTTTTACCCTCTGATGGGGTTTATACATATGTTTCCGAAAGATAAGGAAAATAAATTACATCATTCTGGTGGGGTGTTTATTCCTTACTTTTGCAGTATTTTTTTTCTGCACTCTCTCTGTCTCTGGCAGACATAAAGAATCATAATAATAGAAAAATCTTTTGCTTTTCTCTTTTGCTTTTCTGCTTTTCCTTTTGCTTTTGTTTCTGTTTCCCACTGCTTTTCTCTGTCCACCCATGTTGTTTTGCAAGCTATCTTTTGATTTTCTTGATTTCTTTCCATTGCGTCTTTGTCTCTCCACCTCCACCCTCTCTGGCAGACTTGCTATTGCTTTTGCAGACTTCCTTTACTTTTTCTTTTCATTTTCTGCTTTCTTCTTTTGGCATGGCAGACAACGTCAAAGTGGAATAATAATGGAAATATTGTAAGAAAACTTATCTTCTTCCTGTTTTCCATTAGTGTTCGTGGTATTCGCAGGAGATGGGATCTGAGTAGCAACCCGGCCAAAAAGAAAACTCGTAGTACAAACAGGGCAAGCCCAGGCAGGCATTGAGAGCGATTATAGCGAACTTAATCAGCTGTAGATGAACGATTCCTGAGTCATTTGTCGAGTCAGCGAGTGAGCTCGCTCGGAGGTGTGGAATCAGCGGTAGCAGACAAAATCGAAGGCTCTGATATAGCGAACTTAATCAGCTTGTTCGCAGCGGGGAAAAAACTAGGCTCGCCATTGTGTTTCATTTCCGTACGCTCCTGGGTGAGAAAGTCAGAGCAGTTTTAGTGGTCGGGGACGGCGTCGGTGGGGGGGTTTGGTTCAGAATTTCTGAATCTGAGCTTTTGACTTTCTTGAGGAGGATGGCCTTGAGCTTGCGAGCAAAGTCTTGAGACCGGAGCTTCTGCTCGAGATTCTTGCAAGCCGAGATTAGTTTCTCAGAGTTTTTGAGGTGGTGGGTTTGCTCTTGCTTTATCATCCTTTCAATCCCCCTCGATGTCATCTTCATTTGCATAACCGTCAGGGCCCACTCTAAGTTCCCGTTCATCGCCTTCACCCAAATCCCTATCAATTGCTCATGACGATGGTACTCCAACTGAGTCACTGACTCCACGCCCTGACTAGACCGTTTCAACACCTTCCACGCGCTTCTTGCTACCGCATTCATTGCCTCTATGCTTTCTGAGAATTTGACTGACCTCTAATAACACTACCAGCTAATAATATTGGCTTAAATTAGGCTGGTGGAGTCGATTTACGCTTCAGGAAGGTCTGATTTCGAGGTGTTGAATCTGGCACGGAAGTTTTGTTGTTGTTGGTCCTGTCGGACTCGTTATCTGGAAAAACAGCGGCGGACGACTCGTCGTCTTGGAAGAAGCGGTGGACGAGCTCAGAGAAGCAGGGGGAGTTGTAGTCGCCAGAGTGCTCGCTTCCGCTGCTGAGCAGGGAAGTTCGGGAATAAGGAGTAGGGACCCGCCATGGGAGGTTGATGAAAGAGGGACATGAGAGAGATGAAGTCTCTGGTCGTCCATCTGGGTAGTCAGTCATCTTTGCAATTACTTCAGCTGTCTCTTTTCAACCTTCTCAAGATCCGTAAGCAACTGGCGCACAATATCGAGGGCCATACGTTGACGAATGTGGGAACCATCGAGTTCAGACTCGGGTTGTTGTTAATGGGTCCGGATACCAACTTCCTATGAGAAATGCTTGCGCACATCGCCTCCTGGAAAGGAACGACATGTTGCGCGTCGGAGGCTTCTCTGTACGACGTGTCGTCAGGATTGGAGTGTTTCCTACTCTGCCAGGTTGAATGATTCAGATGGGGTAGAGGTGAACTGGATCAAAGGCCGCGGCAAGTCAGTGGTCTACGAGGCTGTGATCAAGGGCGATGTGGGTACTGTTCAGACAAGAAGCCCGCCGCAGTGAACTGGATCGAAGGTCGCGACAAGTCAGTGGTCTGCGAGGCTGTGATCAAGGGCGATGTGGGTTCGTCTGAAGTGGGTTTGTCCTCCTTTGACACATCAATGGAGTTTTTGTCTTCCTTTGACACATCAATGGAGTTTGCAAACAACTTGTGGGGTTTTGAGGGGAAAATGGTTGAGAGGTGGAAAGAAAATGTGGGTCTTGTCGTTGCACAAGCCATGGATGTCTTTAATTCCTCTCTGTGTTTTGTTTGCAACTCTCAGAGCTCCTTTGTTAGTGAAAAAGAAAGGAGAGAGAGAAAGTGTAGAGAGAGAAGATTAGGGTCAATTTGGGAATGTGATGTTGTTGTTCGTGTAAGTGGAGCTCACGGTGGAGAGATCCATTGTTGACCCCAATTCTTTGATTATTGTTTCACAAAAGCAAACCTTCGAAGATCTGAAACGCACTCAAACAAATGCAAAACTGAAATCGAAAATGGTAGAGAGAGGAGATACCAATATTTAATGACTTCCAGTTCCAGCTCTTTGCCTCTATCTCAATCTCGGTCTCAGTCAGATTTGGCGGTGGAAGGAAGCAGCTGTCCTGGAAGATGGAACAAAGATAACAGATGAAGATGATCAGACGAAGCAGGATGTGACTTCAGTGTTATCTTCCCTGTGGGCTTGTGAGGAGTGTTTGAGATCTGGATCTTTTCTGTTTCTGGGTTGTTTTTGTGATTTTGCAGATTAACGGTGGAGGTGAAAAAATGAAAGAGAACCGACATAGTTTTTTGTGTCGATTCCCACAGACGGCGCCAAATGTTGATGCACAAAACCGGATGGTATTGGTACAACGTAAATCCGACCGTGAATCTGCATGAAATGTAAATGACACAAGAATTATCGTGGTTCACCCCAAGGTTTGGGCTACGTCCACACTGATCGTATTGTATTTCTCTGTTGAAGAGGGAGAGAGAGAGCTTAGAGCTTAGGGGGTGTGAGAGGGCCTAAGAATTTGGCTTTTGAGGGTGAGAATGAGCCTCTTCCTAATTGTGAGGGTGATGGGTCCTTTTATAGAATAAGGACTCCTCACTTATTACATATTTGCCCCTTCCTTTATCTCATAATTACATTTAAGTCCCCTGAGTATTTGTACGAGATCTAAATACGAGGCCCTAAATATGGTATAAACAAGTGTATTTGAGTAAAGTTTTAACTTGTTGAGAAAGTCATTGTGCTTCTTTAATTTATTTGCCAGCATTTTTTATATATATACAAGGATCCTCCAACGTCCCCTGTATAATCATGCATGGATAAAAGGAAGTTTCATCAAAACATTCTCAGTACTATTTATTTTTAATGAAAAATGACATTTTTACTTTAAAAAATCACTCCTAATATTATTCACTTACAACACATTTTTGTCTTTTTTTATTAAAACTCAAAACCCTTTTTATTAATTTTCCTTAGATAAAAACATGTAGAAGATCCTGGTCCTATTTTGTTGTTCTTTCTTCTTTTCTTTTCTTCCTGTCAATGACACGGTGTAGATAAATTCTCACGCTAACTCCAATCCGATTTCCCTACCCTAAAACTTGTCATCATTGTGGTCTCCTCTTTCTTGTGGTCTTAACTTTCTTTTTATAACAATTTCTTGTAAGTGAAACTTTTGTCACAGAAAAAGCCCATCCCAAAACGCCATGAAGCCCAAGCTCATCACATAATTTGCAGTCAAAGCCCAGCCCAAAAAGTAGTTTGTCGTTCGCGGTTAGGGCAAAACCTTTTATAAACGTTAGAAAGACACGTCATGAATCGAGTGACACCGGTCACTCAACGCGCAAAAAGCCACCAAAAACCGCTCGCTCGGCCTACACGAACACAAATCCAAAACCTCAAACCTCTTCTCTCTCCTCTAGCTCTCTCTCTCTCTCTCTCTCTCTCTCTCTCTCTCTACTTTTCCGTGCTTTATCCTTTATCCTATCCAGGGTTTCCTCCCCCGCACTCCATTTCCTGCTTCTCGTCCTTCTCCTTCTCCGTCGCACACTGTGAGTCTGTAAGTCTTCGCTTCAATGCCTCTGGGCGGCGTCGTTTGGATAGTCCCATTTCAGTGTCAATGTGCGATAATTTCGTTGTCTGGGTACTGAATTCGTAATGTTTAAGGCATTGTTTGTTTCTCAGGAAAATCATGAGTGAAATCGGAGAGAAAACGTGTCCGATATGCGCTGAGGAGATGGATTTGACGGATCAGCAGCTGAAGCCGTGCAAATGCGGTTATGAGGTCTGAACGAAACACTAACCCTGTTCACTTGCTCGTTTTGTTTATCTGTAATTTTTTAATTTTGTTGCAAATAAGAACTTAGTGGGAAAAGGCTTTGTTGTGTTGTTGTTGTTGTTGTTGCAAATAAGAACTTGATTCTCTCTCGTTGCAATGTATGTACTTACTGGTCGATTTTTAGTGTTAAAAGTCTGGATGGATGAATGTGTAAATTTGATGACATTGTAATTCGAATAATTAGCGAAATATTTGATTTTTCGGTTAGTTTTTCATGGTATATAACTTTGTGTTCTGATTTATGTGGCACTTCTATGTGGACTTACTCTAATTCCTTAATTGTTCACCGTTTGCGGGCGCAGGTATGTGTTTGGTGTTGGCATCACATTATGGAAATGGCAGCGAAGGATGGAAAGGAGGGTCGCTGTCCAGTATGCCGTACACCTTATGACAAAGAAAAAATTGTTGGAGTGGCGGCAAATTGTCAAAAGTTGGTATAGTTTCAGGTTAATGGATGTTATTATGTGACAACTGACATTTGAGGATTGAAACTGTTCCCCCTTCGACAGGTTGGTGGCTGAAATTAATGTGAAGCGGAAACAGAAAAAACCCAAGGGATCTGAAGTAAAGAAGCAGCATCTTACTGATGTTAGAGTTCTCCAACGGACCCTAGTATATGTGATTGGAATACCTCTTAACCTAGCGAGTGAAGACGTGAGTAGCTATTATCTCATTGCTCTCAAAATATTTAAGTAGGGACCCAGTGTGGACATAATCTGATGTCTTATTGAATTTGTATAATCTTGTACTTTCATAAATGTAATTCTGAGATTCAATTTTTTCCTTCGGTTTTACTAGCTTCTCAAGCGAAGGGAGTATTTTGGCCAGTACGGAAAGGTTTTGAAGGTTTCTATCTCTCGTACAGCAAATGGGGCTATCCAACAGGCTCCAAACAACAGTTGTTGTGTGTAAGTGTGCATACCACTTTCAATGTCTTAACTTCACCTGCTTGATGTGGAATGTAGTATTTAGTTAAGATTTTCTTTTCTTCTAATCAAATATTAATAGGTTATGATTCTCTTTTTTACGTAATTATGTCATTTTGGTAAAAGTTTGTTTCTTTCTTCGGCATGGTGGCTGGTTATCAACGGTATATACTTCGTTCTTTTGTAATAGTGGTTCAATTCCTTGTGCTAGGTATATATCATACTCAAAAGAATATGAAGCAGCTCGGTGCATTCAATCAGTACACAGTTTTGTGTTAGATGGTCGATGCTTGAGGTAAGCCTGTGTTGTTATGCATTAAGATTATGGTGCTTAGATAGCAATGTTTGACTCTTTTGAGTTCTGAATTTGCAGGGCATCTTTTGGAACCACAAAGTACTGCCATGCATGGTTGAAAAGTGTGGTAATTACCTAAGTTATTTCATCTGTGTGAGTTTTTTTTTTTTTTTTTTTTGGCAAAAGGAAAATTTGTTTTATCTTCTTTGAGAATAATTCTTTTGCTGGTTCAGCCTTGCAACAATCCAGATTGTTGGTATTTGCATGATTTTGGTTCTCAGGAAGATAGTTTTACCAAGGATGAATTGCTTTCAGCCTTTGAAAGGTATATGAGAGGTGCAATCCCACATATATTCTGTACATTTGAAATATCCAATAGATTTCAATGTGTGCATTATGCATTTGCCTTGTTTGCGCTTTCATGAACACTATTGTTTCACAGGAGTAAAGATCACCAAAATATCGGTGTTACAAATAATTTGAATCGGCATTCAGTGAAAGGCTTACCTCCCCCAACTGCTGAGAATAGCAAAGCTGAAAGATCATCAGCTACTAAACATCCATCAAATGTAAGAGTCTGCATGTGTTTTGGTTTGCTGATTTGTTTGTGATAAATAGTTACATTATAGTGCCAGAAAAGGTAAAAGGCTTTTGAAAAAACTGTATGATGTCATCAAGATCAAGGATTGTAAGAATCATAAAAAAATGCATGATTACGAGTTTTAAGTTCTGGATGCTTTGTTATACACTTCAATTATATTTAACCTTTGATATATCACATTTCAACAGATTACTGGGAATGAGGTTAAGAGTTATCGTGCAGATGGTGACTCCAGAACATCTATTCCTGCAATAGCACCTTGGTATCTAATCTCATGATCTGTGGCATCTTAACTTTGATCCTGTGTTTGACAACTAATTTTGTCTGGTTATCTCTATCAGGGTCATGCAAGTCACCCCTAGTGTGCCCCCAGCAACAAGTTCTCCAGGTTCTGAAAGGGCTCTTTATCAAAATCCTGAGAAATCAAGTGATCTCAATCCCCTTTCATCAGAAGTGGTACGCAATGAAAGTTCTACCCACAATGTAAGATCTGAAGAAAGCTGTGAGTGGCTAATGACCGAACAGGTTATCACCAAAAATGGTCAAGCAGCTATATCAAATACAACTTCTGGTGCTCTAGCAGAAAGAGCTCCGGTCAGTGTAACTTCCAACAAAAACTTATGTTGTCCATCACCAAACAATGGCATTGAGCGGGGTAGCAGAGTAACATCCACCAACTTGATCAGCAACAACAACAGTTATTGTTCATCATCAAACTTATCAGATAAATCCATTGATATCCAAGGCAGTAGTGTTGCTGAATTGTATAGGACATATGAACCTACCAGTGTGTTACCTGAGATGGGATTAGGGAAGTACTCGAGAGGGTGTGAAATCAATAAGCCCAGCATTCACCGCAGTCTTTCTCCAGATATAGGAGAGAGTGGCATAATCTCAAGTATTTTGACTATGGACTTGGATGCACCTGACGGTTCTTTATCTCCTCTTCACAATCTTGTAAAGTTGTTGGGTGAAACTGATAAAGAGTGCAGTCTCCTCAGAGTACAAAATTCACGAAAACTGCTTGATAAAAAGCAGTCCAGGTTCTCATTTGCTCAACAAGAGGATTCTTGTGATAATAATATATGGAATGCATCCAAGGACTACGCCTTATCTGATTTGATGGGCAACAAGGAGTACTTAGTAGATGTAGAGTCTAATAAGTTTCTTGGGGTTCCTTCTTTTACATCTTCTAAAGTATCAGGTTTGTATCTGTTAATAAGCTTTATATATATTTCTGTATAATGATGTTTGCGCTGTCTGATGAACTCTTTTTTACCCTTCTCTTGGTTATTTGTTTTTGCATATAGAGCTGGTATAATTTCTCTTAGATCTCTAGCTCAAATTTATAATTTCTTAGCATTTTCTGGAGCTTTATTCAAATACTCCTCTCCCCTCAGCATTGTTTAATATCCTCATTTTTATGTTAGAATATATGAATATTCAAATTTAATATTTTTTCTTCCATTTCTCTGTTATATATGACGGTCACAGAAGTTCCTCGTTCAATTGCGCCAGGATTTTCAATGCCAAGTAGAGCACCACCTCCAGGGTTTTCTTCTCCTCCAGGGTTTTCTTCTCATTTGAGGCCTAGGAGGGTGGATCAGGCTTTTGACAGTTCAGGTTGGCTGGTTCTTATGATGTTTTGTGAATTTTCTTTCCAAGATTTATTCTAACCATCCTGCTTCTGCCTTACAGTGAATCACTTGTTGCAACCATCATGTATACCAACTGGTTATTCTGGTATTAATGGGAATGTCGAGATCAATGATCCAGCAATTTTGGAAGTCAGTGAGGAACTATTGGCAAGAGGGTTGATGAATAAGAGAGCAAATTTATCTCAGTTTAACTCTTCTGAGCCAGATGCTAGGCTCCATATGCTGAGACAGCAGACAACTTCTGCCCCGCAGAACTTAGGATGTCAAGACCACTTCATGAATAGTTACTCTTACCTAAATGATGCACAAAGAATTACTCCACAGCAGCCAGATCAATTCCAGCCCAATCCATCATTTGTGCAACCCACCAGTCAACACTTAAGTGACATGCATTTATCAAATAATGATTGGGTGCAATGGAATCGGGTCAATAGTGTTGCCGATCTTGGTATATCAGATCTACTGAGAAACGATCGACTGGGATTTAACAAGCTCATTCCCTGTTATGAGAATATGCAGTCTCCAACAAGTTACTTCAGTCATCTAAACAACAGATCATTTGAAATGTGAAATTTTCTGTTGCTGGAGTTTCTCTTTCACGCTTGACTGGGGTCAAGTGTGACTGAGTGGATTACCCGGTTGATGTTAACTTTTCCCATGTGATGGAGCTTCATGTTTTGAGTTCTATCCAAAGTTAATAAGTATTGCCTAGTAAGGATCAACCTTTGTCTTTCTGTTTGTTGGAATTTGATGTTTCCCGAAAAGACAGTAACGGGTTTAAGGATTACTGCATCGACAGAATGGAACGCTCAGTGGGAAGGAGGTTTATGCATTCATTTGGTAGTAAGAGGCCTCGAGTACCGACATTCCTGGTCTGTCTCGTAAGTGTCAATGCAGTGAAAAGTCTCCATATAGTGAAGGCACATGTTACCTAAGCAAGGAAATGGATATGCTATCATTGGTATGAGGGAACACAGATGGGCTGCTGCAACTTCTAAAAGCAAGGTGAGTTAGATTGGATTTGTGATTGACGAGTGATATACGTTGCGGTGTAGACTATAGTGACTGCACTACGGCATATGCTTAGGCTGTATATTAGTTAGTATGCAAGTATGACATCTGTCCGAATATATTAAAGAAAATCATAAATACGGTCCAAATGTCTGAAAAATTCCCCTTATTCCTGTAAGTTTGGTTTGTTTTTGTTTGCGGAGAACAAATTAAAGTTTGCATGTCCAGAAAATTGCTACTCAACATGGTAATTAGTTATTTGTCTTGTTTTGTTTTTGCAGGCAGAGGGCACTGATATTAACAAGTCCGTCCGTCTTTGTTTACTCAACTTAGTGGATGAATCTGATGTTACCCAATATCGACCTTTGTTAAAGATTGATTACTTTCGCTAGTGAGCAAGTGTATAATTGCGACAAATGAATGCTGAACTGAAAGTTGAGTTGGTGGTAATGATTTGGCTGAATGTTATGGCATATATGCTATCAGAGACCGTTAAGAGGGGGAGAGCCTTAGGCTAAGGCCCTTAGCTATCCCCGAGTGTACACCCGATTCCGGTTAAGATGTTCTGTATTAAGTAAAGTAGTACTCGAGAAGTATCATTTGTGTTCATCTTTGTTTTCTTTATTTCTCCTGTTTTTCTGATCTCTCATCCATTTCTAACCCTTGAACTATTATTTTATTCTAATCTCTCATCCGCGTCATAATTTTATTGCTGGTTATAGGTGACAAGTAAGAATTGACGATGAAAAGGCTAATTTACTCTTACTCTTGAATTTGATATAATAGAAAACGGAATCTAAAAGTAAGAGGTTAATTGATTGATTTCAAATAGTTCAGGAGATTAATTTATCGAAAAAATAATTCTAATGGGTCAATTTAACTAAAGTAATGATTCAGGGGTCAAAGCCACGTTCCCTTTTTTTATAGGCATTTTGCTTGCACGCATCTAATGTAGGTTTGCTTTGTCAGGGTTGGTCCAAAACATTTGCCTTTTCTAGGTCATTGGGGACAATTATTTTACTAATTAATAACTAATATTATATAAAAAAAAAAATTTTAAAAAAAAAAAAAATATATATATATATATATATATATATGTTTGTAAATGAAATTGAGTTCATGTCATTAGTCGTAAATAAATCACAAAAAATAGATAGAAGAGGTTAGAAAAATATTCTATGAACATTACAAAGGCAGAAGAAGAATTTTCGAAAGGAAGAAACTGCTTTAAAATCAAACATGGTGTCTTGGGTGGGATAGAAAAATGAAAGCATAGAATAAAAAGCAGTATGTCATCTTGACTCAAGGAAGTTGAATCGAGGATCGGAGGATGGTACGATCCCTTGGGCACCCTAGATGAACGAAGATTCAACGTGCACCTAGCCTCATGTAACAACGTGTTTAGTGTTTCATCTTTGCTAATATAAGATTGTCTAGATGCCCAGTGAAACATGAGCACCTCAGACAGTGTTCAAAGAAATTAAACTCTGAATTATATATAAGTATTACACTCACCTCGATTATTACGGAAGGTCTTATCAACTTACAAAATTCACTATTGTCTTAGCATGATCGAGGCGAAAATAATTGTCTATACAGACAAAATTCACTATTGCCTTAGCATGATCGAGGCGAAAATAAGGCAATATCAAGGCGAAAATAATTGTCTATACAGACAAAATTCACTATTTCCTTAGCATGATCGAGGCGAAAATAATTGTCTATACAGACAAAATTCACTATTACCTTAGCATGATCGAGGCGAAAATGATTGTCCATACAAACAAAATTCACTATTGCCTTAGCATGATCGAAGTGAAAATGATTGTTCATAGAGATAAAATTCACTATTGCCTTAACGCAATGCGATTTCAAACTATGATCTCACACAGTACTATTAAAATTTAAACTCAAATAAGTTTTAGGGGGGTGTATTCAATTGAGAATTTGAGAGACTTTAATGGATTTATAATCCATGGATTTTTATGGAGTTTAATTGATTTGTAGAGATTCCATATAAAATTTTGATTCAATTCCCTCGAAATCTCATAGGGAGATGTAAGATTTGTGGATACTTAAAATACATTACGAAATCTCTCCAATTCCCTCTAATTCCTCAACTTTCTCAAATTCTTTAAAATCAATTTCTAATTGAATACACCTAGAATGTTATAAACTTTTTAAAAATCATAATTGAATACATCCGAATTTCTAAAGATTTTAATAAACTATCTTAAAATTCTAATTGAATACACATTAAATTTCAGATAATCACTTAAAATCATAATTGAATACCCTAGATTCATTAAAAGAATTAAAATCCCCCAAAATCTCAATTGAATACAACCCCCTTAGATTTGATACAAAATTCAGATTTTTATCCACCAAATGAACCCTAGTGGAAAACCCAAGCCTTCATAGCGGAGAATTAAGCACATAGCCATGGAAGCTATCTTGAAACTCTCGAAGCCCCCACCTCTCGAAGGTCCAAATGAGGTCCTCATGAACCGAACTCCAATAATTCAAATGGTCACTCAGAAGGGTCGGCGTGCAGTAAAAACTCGCATTGGGGACTTAAATGTTTGCCTTTAAAAAGTGAAGCTCTTGCAGATCCGCAGAAGAAGAATGATCAGCGGGTAAAAATCTCAGTCATCAATCTTTCTGGGAGGTATGTAAACCCACAGTAAAAATAAAAGGGTAAATTGCGGTTTGACCCCTGAACTATCACCCCAGTTGAAATTGACCTCCTAAACTATTTTTTTGGTAAATTTACCACTTGAACTATTTATAATCAGTCAATTAACCCCTTGTTGTTAGATTGCAGAATCAATTCCGTCAAATTCAAGGGTAAATTAGTCATTTCATCATCAATTGTTACTTGTCAATTATATCCACTAATAAAATTTTGACACATGGACACAAAATAATTCAAAAACATAAAAAAAAAACCAAACGTTTCCATAACAAATCATCTCACATTGTCATTACACATTATTTTGTTCTCAAATGTCATAAGTTCTTTGGTGTTTATAGTTGACAAGTAAGAATTAATGAAAGAATGACTAATTTTCTTTTGAATTTGACCAAATAATAGATGGAATCTACTGACAATGGGTCAATTGGTTGATTTTAAATAGTTTAGAAGATTAATTTACTAAAAAAATAGTTCAATGGTTAATTTCAATTAGAGTAATAGTCAAATGGAAGTTTACCCAAAATAAAATGCTAGGTTGGTAATGGTTAGGCTGCTTTGACGGTGACTCGTCAATGTTTTCATCCCACTCAAGATTCGATCGAATACAGTTGAGGACTGAGGAGGTACAGAAAAAATGAAGATGGATGATGACGTGTCGCGTGTTCTGGGTTTGCATTATTGTGAAAGGAAACCTAGGAGCGACCCAGGTCTATTTGCATGCATGCCCCAGTGAGACCTTCTTGGCTGGACCACTCTACTCATCTCTTCTGCTGCTGCCACAACACCATCTACAAACAAACATATATAAACATATGCGAAGAGATCCTCTCATACTAATGCCATCGGATCAAGTGATTCGGATTTTTGAAATTTCATCTAAAAAAAAAAAAAAGGTCGTACCCAGTGCACAAGGCTCCCGCTTTACGCAGGGTCTGGGAGAGGTGAATGTCGGCTAGCCTTACCCCCATTTATGGAGAGGCTGCTCCCAAGTCTCGAACCCGAGACCTACCGCTCATGGGCGAAGGCACTTGCCATCACACCAAGTGCGACCTCTATTTTTGAAATTTCATCTAATAGTAAAAAATTATTATAGTGTTTAAAGAGTCAAAACAGATGGACCGTTAGATGAAATTTCAAAGGTCCGAATTACTTGATCTGGTGATCTTGATAGAAGATATTCGGAGAACATTCGTAGATGAAGAGGTTTAGGGTTTAGAGATAAGAGTGGTGAAAGTACTTGTTTGTACTACTAGCATGTACAAACTCTGTTTCAAATAGTAGTAAGGACGTAAGTACAGTGTGGTGATGCATTCCAGACGTCCCAGCACTTGTGTTTTTGTTTTCTGGTGTTGTGCCTCTGTCGGTGTGTGAAGTTGTTTCACGACCGGGAAGAAAACTAACTCTGCACTTAACAAATTATATGTACCAAATTATGTGGAGATTTGGGCTAATTATTTGTTTAGCTCTCGTTCCTTAATTTCTAGAAAGTGATTTCAAATTATGAATGAGATTTTTGAACATTACTCTTTGAAAAATATTAAATTTAAAAAAAATATTGTGTTAGATTATGTATTGTACATAAAATTTTCATCTCATACAGTTTCTCATTATGTGAAAATTTTATAAGGATTGAAAAAGATTGAATATTAGCCCTTGATTGTACATGAGATTTTTACCTCATACCGCTTTTCATTTAATTCTTTTGAAGTCACTTGATCATTTTCTTTGTTCGAAAATCTCTTTCCATATTGTTTGCCCAGACTATCTTAGAATCTAAAATGCGTATTACTAGATTGTAAATCTGAAAAGTTAATTATTTTCAAAATGTTCGGATTCAGGGTATCCAGACGAGCATTAATATCGTGATGTAGTTTAGACCGTTGAGTAATGATTCAATGTTGTGCACAAGCCATGCACATGCATATGCATAAATAGTGCACTGGAAAGTAAAATACTCCCAACCGCCCATGCAGTAAATGCAAAGAGTGCCCTACGCGTGCAGGGCAGTGCACAAAGAGGTAACTTACTAGGCAACATTTATTTTTTTTTACAAGAATTTTATTTTGAGAATCTTGATGAAACATTTTTAGTATTATTCACTTTTAACGTTAACGATAATTTTATCCTGAAAAGTCACTCATAATACTATTCACTTACACCTTTATTTTATTATTTTGATTAAAATTAAAGTTTTTTTTATAACTTTTTGTTAGTTTTTTTTTTTTATTTTTTTTTATTTTTTGTGAATTATTGTTTTCATAAGGCAATAGTTATTGAGAAAAATGCTTTAATTATTAAGCAATGATTATATCTTTATGCAGATTTTTTAGTGGTTATTAAGAAAAAGTTCTCTATATATTTTTGGATTCGTTTCAGTATTTCCTATTTTCTATCTGTGTTATCACGTTACTATATTTCTTAATGAATTAAATCAAGTGATTATTGTCTAAAGTTCTTCGATATGCCATGTAACTATTTCAATAACAAAAAAAAAATTTCTCGTGACGAGAGAGAAACAAATCCGTCAAAGGAGTCGAAGACATCGACAAGCAAGACTTCGATATGGATTGAGTACACTGCCATAATAATATTCTAATCTAATGGTTGATTTGGTATTGTTGTGTTTTAAAAAAAAAAAAACTATTTATATTGTGCTGTGAGAATAAGTTCATTTTTGCTGCTTCACGTTTTCAGTTTTTTTTTTTTTCCACTCAAAACTGTGAAAATAAGTTGTTTTTATGTGTTTACCAAACACATTTTTGAACTCAGCTGTTTTTTATACCTACTTTTTATAAAAGCACCTCAGTACTAAACTAGTACTAACGGCAAAATGCCATGTAAAGTGAAATTAGCACATGCCATTGTGCTACTGAACTGAAACGACATAGAGATGTACCCTGTTTATCTCTAAAGTTCTTCGATATGCCAT